TGTATTACATTGGGCTCAGAGATACAGTCAGATATGTTATTAAAATGCAGTAGACATCTTCACTTTGGCACATACCCAGGAATATGTTGTGAGAAATTGTAAAGATGTATAAAATTGATCATTTAGCATGGTTTAATAGAAGTAAGTACATAAGCACTAAAAAGTAGAAGCTGGATAAAAGAAAAAAAGTATCATTATCTTCCTACTAGAACCTGGAAGTCTCTCACTAATATAATAGAAATGTCTGTAATATAATTTGTATTGCATTTGTGTATTACATTTCATATTTTTCCATCTATACCTTTTGTCCTTGTCAGCACAAGCATTATTGGCTCCTTTCCCTTTTTTTCTTCTTCTTTTTATCTAATAATTTACTGTAACAACTTAAAAAAAACCCCAAAAAACCAAACAGCTCTAACGACACATCTGTGATCATCAGAATAAATCCCAAAAGCAAAAGATAGTAATTGTAAGCACATCATCTGTTGGCCTCCCGCCCCCTCCTCCCAGGCAAACTTCTGAAGCTTTAACTCCATTTTTTTCTGTCCTCATTTGGATGAACCTTCATCAATGGAACCAACAGGTCTTTTTGCCTGAGAAAGAGGTGGGTTAAAATGAAGCGATATGTTCAAGATGTGGTCTCTCTTCCCTAAAGCTGTCTGTTCTCATTCCCCTTTGTGTCTGCCTATGCAGCCACTAATATTTTAAGCGTGTTTTCCCACCCTCAGACCCATCTGGTCATGACACTGCTCAGGGATGACTAAAGCAGCACACAGGAGTTTCATGTGACCATGTTGTCACTTGGGATTCATTTTTTCCCCCTTGGTTCCTCTCAAACAATCGCAGGGGCCGTAGCTTACAGGCCTATTGCTCCCTCTAGAGCCCTTCAGTGCTGTTCTGGGGGACCACTTAAATAACCCCTCATCACGCTACATGTGAGCTCACTGCTCGTTTTGCTTCCAGCCTCTGTCAAGTGGGAGGCAGACCGAATGAAGACTTCAAGTTCCTGCGTTGCAATGTAGAGCATGGGCACGACACCTTCAGGTGCTTGGGTCTTGGAGGCTGATCTTCACCTTTTGCTAGCCCAGGAACAGTATTGCTGAGCAGGCACCGGTGGACAATATTATGTTTTGTGCTTCCTCTTAAGTTCCTGCAGCTTTGCAGAGCACCAGGGGATTCCCATGAGCAATCCTGTAAAGTCATGAGCTGGGACAACTGGTTTAATCCATCCGACTTTGGCTGTCAAATCAGCAGTGACTCTTGAGGGCACTTTTGATAGTACAGCAAACCCATAAACAGAGTCTCTAGGTACCATTTCAAAAGTCAGTATTGTATTTTGGCCAGAAATGCTACTGTTTCCATTATTTTTTCTAGAAGGCTTCTGACCTTAATGCTTTTTCAAAAATAAACATTACCAAGCAATTTTTCCTACCTTGGTTGTGAGCGAAGACTTGATGGAAACAGTGAGTCTTGTGCTCTGCCCTCATGCGTATGAGGGTATGCTTGAAGTCTGTGGGAAGGGTTTCCAAAGGCAGAGCCCTGTTCATCATCTGGGGAATTTAATCCTTGTGCTCATGAGGTGCTATGTGCCTAGTATTAGGAACTGTCAGGCATAGTTACAGGGAGTAATGACTCTTGCCCCTCAGTGAGGCACAGCTTGACACTGATGTCATCCATCAGCCCTTCCACCATCGGCAAAGACTCCCACAATGAGGCAGTAGCCTTTGGCTTCAGTATACTGAGGCATGCATCATAGACCCGAGCTAATCTGCCTATGGTTTTCTGTAGGTTTATGGGATTGTTTAACCCAGAAGTTCTCAGATTTTGATGTTAGCCAATGGAGGGCTACGTGCCAGCTTCCCATGACTGCTAGGACATCATCAAATTGCCATCATGACTATTGGAGGCATCCAAACCAAGCCAGTGTTTCAGAATGCCTTCTTGGGGTGTTTGGTCCTTCTTTACAGTCACTAGAGAGGTCAGGCTGTCTGACTCAGTTTTGGTGGCGTCCACCCCTTTCTGTGTTGAGCAGAGACACTAAGTGCTCAGTGCAGGTCTTCTACTGATAGTCGGGACCTCCACTTAGGCATCAGAAATCACGGCATCTAATTTAGGCTCCAGTGCTAGGGCATCTGAATACGGCCTCCACTGACTAAACTGGTATTATTTCTACCAGTTTAGTCTACTGTATGTTGCGTATGTATGTGTGTGTGCACACACTTGTGTGTAAGTGTAATATGCAAGTGCATGTGGAAAATAAAAATTTGTACCATGGCTGTATCATAATACATAAAAGCAAGGAGGAGACATTTATAGTCCTGCTGTCATCCTAAAATAGGTATACCCATAAACCACAGATTTCACTAGCAGTACCTCCAATCTAAATCTACCTTTGTCAACCGACACATAAATGATGAATGAGGTAGAAGCTATGAATAAAAGTGATAAAACCACTAAATAAAGCTAAATGTAAATGAAACAGAATAACCAAAGAAGAAATGCAGCCAGAATTATTGGTAAGCAGCAATGAGTGACACATAGGTTTATGGTTATATAGTCCTGTGGTTAACCAGTATGTGGTTAATGAATAGTCTTCTGTCAACAAGAAGTAAGCTAAGTATCTTCCTGCTTCTGCCAACTTGTGTCACAACCTTATGCAGGCTCTGAGATCTAGTTTGTTCTGTAGAAAATCTTGCAAGTAACTTCACCTCCCTCTTATTCCTTATTCTGGTCTTGTAGATTGGTAATGTGTCTACATTTTACTACATTTCCTTATTGTTATAATTTTTTTCCTGCGTTTCTTTTCTATCTGGAAAAACCACAAGGGCACTCTAAAGAAATAAATTGACTACGTATTCTAGCCAAACAGCAAGAGCACCTTACCTAATGCACCAGCAGTTGTCAAAAAAACCCCCCAAAAAACCCAAATGAGAAGCAAGATGGAAATACTGCAGATTAGTAATGAGAATAAAGTATGTTTTCAAAGTCTCTTTCAGTCTTAGTGATCTAGGTGTTGTATGTAATCATACAGGGAAACTATTTTTGGAAAGAAGGAAGATCTGCAGGTGCCTGGTATTTGTTAAGTCTAAAGCAATGGGTGATAAAAGTTTTTTGGAAGGAAGTTTATTGAACTTTATTACTGATGCCTCATAGAAAGAACTGTTGTGCTGGCAGAGAAAGAGTAACAAAGCTGTAAAGCTTTATCATGTAATTTGGTATTTAAAGAATGTCAAGAACACAGCCATCCTTGGTCTGGGTAGACGCAGGAGCCAAGAGTGGAGGGCCAAAGGCCCTGAGACAGGGATCTGAAAAGACTTTTGCTTCTGCTGCAATTCTTCCGGTGTCAGGGACTGCTTTCTAGCGAGGATGTGGAGGTGGGAAGACACTGGCCTGGGATTTGCGAAGCTTGTGTTTCAGCTTCTGTTTTGTCAGGGCTGTGATTCAGGATTATGGTCGGATTTAGTTGCAGCCGCCAAAGTGGTTAGCATCGCTGGCCACAGGCTTCCTGTGAGATCGTGGCCAAGACACTTTATCTCCCCACAGTTCCTCATCGGCAGAGTGGGGAGAATACCTCCCTAATTCACGGGGATGTGATGAGGACAGTTTCCAGTAACAGCTATGTGTGTGTGCTCGCTGTGATGTTGATGCAGACCATTAGCACCAAAGTAGGAACTGCATTAAGAGAAGTATTGAATTGCAAGTGAATGTGTACGGCGGGGCGGGGGGGGATGTTGCTGCTAGAGACAGGCATTTATATTTACATTTATATTTCCATTTATATTTATTTATATAGATAAATGAAGCAGACAATAAAAATGGGAAGTCTTAGAAGGGAAGAAACTCAGCACTCAGGAGGGCTGGAGCCAAGTGGTAAAACGAAGCAGGCAGATCTGTATGGGAAAGCTTGCACAGCAGGGGCCCACGGGCGGAGAACCTCAATTTTCTTACAGCAGTTCCAGGTTATCTAACTTGGGGTGATGTCCCTTGATGTCTCTTACTGATAAGGAAGATTCCTGTCAGTATCCGAGTCCTCCGTGATGCTGAGATAACTAAGCTAAGCCTGCTGACAGGCAATGTTTTTATTGTTGTCCAGGCCAAAGCCATAATGAATAGATATATGAGGTCTTATCAAAGATGCAGAATGTTACTTTTGTTGTTTAAAAAATGCCTGAAGTAAGTGCTGGCATTGGCCAAAAGCAAATCCTGGGGTAGCAGGATCTGAAGGCTTTGCAGGCACCAGGGGATACAAAACCCTCCCCAGCAGCCATCAAAATGAAAGTTTTCCCAACTTAGAGCAGTGGCATACACATAACAATTTTGAAAAGGCCTTCACAGTTTTCTTACTAAATAACAGAGGAACTAAGCATAATGCTCTGCTATGTCTTCATAAAATGTTTTAATTCTCTGTGGACAAGCTGTAGGGATTTTTTTTATTTTTTCCATTCCCTTGTTTCTTGGCATTGCAGTAGCAGATTACTTTTAAAGGGTTCTGGTTCACAATATGGAATTGATCTAATGCTAGCTTCAACCACAAAGCGTCGGATTTTACAATCTGCCTAGGGGATCTGAGCACCCAGTTCTCTTTAATTTTAACAAGTGCTGTTGATCAGATTCCCGTGGCAGTTTTGGAAGAGTCAGCCACAATTTCTAAGCCTCTCTGAACTAACACCCTTTAGAAAGTACAGATAATGTACCAGCAGTCATGTAGATCAGATAAACTCTGTTAGGGGTAACCTCCTTTTTTTACAAACAAAATGTAGATCATTTAAATATAAATTAATTTTTTTTTCCCCCAAAAGCTTTGAGCAGTTGCCACAGAGGGAATGCATCCAGCACCAGGCATTTGTGAGGTTATACACCCTGCTTTCTGGGCACGTATCTATCTTCAGATACGGACAGCTAAAGTGTTCTAGTGCCATTTGGTGTGTTCGAGTGCTACCTGAAATGAGGAGTACACCTTTTCTCAACACATATGCTCAGTAACATCTTTTTTCTGTTGCAGGGAAAAGCTTCACGCTGACTATCACGGTCTTCACAAATCCGCCACAAGTAGCCACATACCACAGAGCCATCAAGATAACCGTGGATGGACCTCGCGAACCCAGAAGTAAGTGAGCTAACGACGGCATTCGCAGGAGGCCGAGTTGGCGGTTTAGTATAGGGGTTCCTCACCAGCCTCATGAAGCACAGCGATACCCAATGCATGTGGAGCAGTGGGTATGTTTTAAGCCAAGGCTGTCTTACGAATGGTTTTAATTACGCCTTCCCAAAGCCTTATTCTTGACGGGTGCCCAGCTGATCTAGAATATGACTTGCGTTGCATTTCTAAAGCATCTACCCAGGATGACTTGGATCATACCCAAAAGCTGACAGAAGGGATGCTGGTAAAAGGTGGGCAGCGTATACCTTACGCATCATTTCTTGCTAGTCTTGCCTTTCAGATGTTAAGAGGGTTTTAAAGCATTGGAAACCAATATGTCATTGATCTAACTTTTCAAGCTCAGCCACCCTGCAAAATTAAATAAATGCCGGAGAGAGGATGCCTGGTTGCTGCCTTGTGGAGTTCACTGTACCTCACGCTGTCATATAGCTGAGGAGCACTCGTTTTCACAGACAGCTAATCTTTCCTTTTTTTTTTTTTTTCCTTTCTTTTTTTAAGAATTAAGTGCAAGGAGGAGATGAGTGGTTTGATATCTCCAGGGGAATACCTACAACTTTCACACAGGCGGTTGCTTTGTTCAGTTGGCGAGGGCAGGCTGTTTTGTCTGTGGGGTGAAGTGGAGTGAGGGTGGAGCGGATCTGCAGGTATAGATGCTTCTGCAGCACATGCGCTGCCTGTTACCAGAGGCAATCATTAACCTCAGTCACTAGCCCAAATGGGCATTTTCATATTTTTATCAAAATGCCTTGATGTAAATTGAGGTTTGTGGTTAGTTTCTTGCACTCCTCCTGCACTCTTGGCAGAAGTTCTGGCTGTTGCTTAAGTGGAATCGTCCCAGGAGAAGAGAGCAGCAGGATTCAAGCACCCACTAGAGAATGAGACTCGCAGCTCGGGGTTGCTTAACTTGGGGGAGGGGGAAAAGAAAGGTTTGAAACATCAACTAAAATAGGTTAGAAAACTCTTGCCTTGTCTCTGTGTTTTCTTCTTGATCCTCCATTTGTCTGAGTTGCATCATGATGCTGCATGCATTTAGTGGAAAAATCTGACCTGTATTTTTTGGATTTGAGGCCAGACTTTAAAACAAATACTGCTGTCAGGGTAAGGCTTCTTATTTAGTTTGGTGTGTTTTTGGTTTTTTTAAATTGTAGTTGAATTGTCCCTGAAAAATATCCCTGGTGAACCAGGCAGCTGTGCACATAAAAAAGATATTTGTATATGCAAGTTCCAGGTTTGCATATGCAATTACCTGGGCATGTTCATAGTTTGCAGACAACAAATAAGCTTTCGTTTTTTGAACATGAGCCTGCTAGAATGGTAAGAAACAAAATCACCCTGCAGGCATACCTACTGTTTTAAATCAATTCTTCAGCTGGTATAATGGTTAATATTTAATGAGATTCTACATTTTAAAAAGGAAGTAGAGATATAATACATACTGAAGCAACACACGTATCTTCCCGACTCAAATGTTTGTAAAAGCTTCCTTGTAAATAACTTCACTCTGCGCGTGTCGGGAGAAGAGGTCAGGCT